GACTATGATGGTGAAACTAGACGTCATTCCAACCCACCTGGAAAAACTCAATTTTCTGTCTTCCCTAAATCATTCTAGTCACAATTTCCTAAGGAGGTCTTTGTCTTGGTGATTTCTATTTTCTCCCTGTAGGTTAACTATCTTTCTTTGCTTAACTGAAAGTTTGCATTTATACAAACTGTGACTGAAGAGATGAAGGATAAATTAACCAAGATGAGCTTTCTAGGGGAAGTCATGTGGAGTAGAGGCTCTGGCCTACAGGGACCATGCTTCCCCTTGGTATCTTAGGGTGGTGCTGTTGACCTCCTGGCCTTTCAGTAACTGTCATTTGGGACTGCTATTGCTGATAGTCTCTTAGATCAGCAGGAAAGAGTAGTCCCCAGGTACATAGCTGTGGGTCTAGGCTCCTTCCAATTGCTGTCTAGGAGAAATCTTACTTTGAATGCACAAACGTTTCCTCTGCCATTAAAACAAAAGGTAACTTCCTTATAGAATGTTAAGCCATTCCTTAGGACAATTTTGGATGCCAGAAGAGTGTTGTCTATTTAACAATGAAATATTTTGTTTTTACACTTAATGATATCTCAAAAATGAATGAAGCAGTATAAAATTTTACCTGATATTTAGAATTTTAGAATGAATTATAACAGAAAGTGAACGTTGGGCTGTAGATATACAGATTAATGGCATACCTTTTGAAAACAGTTGATAGTATTCTATAGAATCTTCCTTATCTATTTAAAGGAGTTTCAAAAAATTTAAATTCTTTAAATTTCTGAATTATTCAGCATATATAGTCATGTGCTGAAACAACAATTCCCTAACCAATTTCTTTCATGAAATGAATTTTAGAGAATTTAGGATACTTTCTAAATGTTCTTTTGCCACACACAGTAGCATGCACCCCTGTAATCCCAGCGGTTCAGGAAGGCTGAGGCAGAAGGATCATGAGTTCAAAGCTAGCCTCAGCAAAAATGAGGCACTAAGCAACTCAGTAAGACCCTGTCTCTAAATAAAATATAACACAGAGCTGGGGATGTGGCTCAGTAGTCAAGTGCCCCTGAGTTTAATCCCCAGTACACACACACACACACACACATATATTCTTTTGTGACTGATACTTTTATAAAATTGTGAATGTGAGCTTCACTCAAACCTAAATTCTAAGTTCAAATAATAGATGAGTTGTCATCTTTCAATGAAAAAGAAAGTAATATTGAGAGATGTTTTCTATCAATATATTTGGTCAAAGAAATATTTGTTGCAAAGCATCTTTCTGCATAGTGCTCATTTGAATGCTTCCATAAATTCTATGGAAGTTGTACATCGCAGAGTCCCTGCAAAAAGATAAAAGAAACCCTCAACATGTCTTTGTGGGGTATCTGTGGTTTACAATATTGCATTTCCTGCAATATTAATAAACTGAGGTATAAGTTCAGGAAAGGATAGAGGACATTTCCTCAGGATGTTAGTGGTAATTATTAAGGCAAGAGTAAGAGGCCAATTTTCATATGCAAAGTAGGTTTATTGCTGTTTTGCCCTGGCTGCCTAAGTAAGAAGGAGGGTGACATCATGAACATAGTTTTATAATCATAAGGTAGCCTTAGAATACCACATATTAAAAAGATAGGTAAGAAAGGAGGTGAAATTAGGAGGAGGGAGAGGAGAAAACACCGGGAAAAAATTGGTCCAGGTTAAGATTTTGCAAAGGGATCTGTGCACTGCAAATTTCTATCATTAAAAGACATGTGGAACTGATGTGAATCTGCAATATGTATACGGGGTAAAAATGGGAGTTCATAATCTGCTTGAATCAAATGTATGAAATATGATATGTCAAGAGGTTTGTAATGTTTTCAACAACTAATAAAAAAACTAGAAACAAAAATAAGGTTTTAAAAAGTTCATTATATATAAACCTAGAAAAAAAATAAAAAAATAAAAGACATGGTTCATCTCTGCTCAGATATCAAGTCCAATTCAAAAGTAGTTTCACACTTCAGTCTCCCTGAGTTAGTCTCTTCTCAAATCTTGATTTGTCTGCCACAACATTCCTAGTTTAGCTTAGGATGCCCCCATTTGTTTTTCAGTTCACTCCTTCAGGAAGAGAGAAGAGTTGACAAGAAGAGATGTTCACATATCTAAAGCATTTTCTATTTTCCCTTCTTCCTTCACATTTTTATACTATGCATTATTCTTGAGTTTCTCCATTTTCTGAAGCATTTCTTATAAGTCCTTGAGATCCTCTGTGTTATGAATTCAGTATTGTGTAGATAATATATGCTGTGAGGGGAAGGGGAGAGGTCATTGCAGAGCAGTTGGTGCATGTGGGATCTGAGTTCTGTTCCTTGGGCAAGGGGAGGTAGTGTTTAGTAAAGAAAAGAGACAAAGAAACCTATGCTAAGACTGATATAGCATAAGAGGAAGAGAAATTTGGCATATGTCTGGGAGAATCGATAGTATGGAGTAGAGGATATAGAAGCTCTCTCTGTACAAGCAGAATCTAAAAATTTACCATGATTTCTGTCAGTCTATAGAAGATTAAAAATTCCCATTTACAATGAAATACATACTTTAAATGAAGAAATAAATAGAAGCTGACTAGTTGGGTTCGCTAGAGGTAAAAGAGCTACAACAGCAAAAACAGATCTCAAATGTTAATCACCTGTGGCATAGTAGTTAACTTAGAATAATACTGAAATGTTTTTGCATCTGACATTCTCCACAAACCTGTCTCCTTTTATGTGTATGCATGCCAGTATATAAATTGCTGAATTCATGTCAGTTGTAAAGTAATGGCACTGAGGGCATCATAAATTACCATGGTGATCCTCAGGAGAAGACACTGTCGTATCTGAATGAGTATTTCACTTCCAGAGTAATGTATGCCTTCATCTGGCCCAGCAGTCAGCATATTGCCCTGTGTTGATGGATATTGTCAGCTGGAAGCTACACTACATTTCACTGCACAATAAACATGGCTGTCAAACCCATATAAAGTGAAATCAATTTATCCTGTATGGTCAGTGCATTTTAAATGAAATTAATGTACTGTGGGTATGGTGGCAAAAAGGTAGCATATTAGTTATGCATCTTGGGATCTGAGACTTTTCATGTAAGGCATCATTCTGTCTAGTAAGCCTAAAAGAAGGGCTGTTTATAAAAAAAAATGTTTATTTTTGCATGATTTTCAGAAAGTGGCCTCTCCACCCTCCTTCATGTTTAGGAAAAAAAAAATCACAATATTAACCAATTCCATCCTTTTATCCTGTCTTTTGTTTACAATAAATGATGAACATATTTGCCAAATAACAGTGTGCTTTAATGTTCTAATTTATTACTGGTTTTGACACCAACAAATTTCTACTTAACCAAGGTATCTGGAAATAGAAGGACCAGAGATTGATTAGGTTGTGTTATTTCTATGTAAGTCTGCTGAGCTGAAAGGATTTACTTTGTCCAGAAAACAGAAATGTGGGGTTTGCACCTACACTTTTGGGGGAAGGCTTTCCTGCTTATGCATAGAAATATTGACATTAGTCCAACCACTTTGTATTTTACTATAGAAGTTCTCAGTGTATAGGGAGATAGGCAGTAATTGCCACATGACAAAGCATATATTGGTATGTCACACTGCAGGTGGGCAGGGGTTGGGGTCGTGAAGATAAGCAAGAGTTTCATTCATTCATTACATTTATTAACTAAAATTCTATGTGCCAGATATTCCACTAGATCCAAGGAATACAGCAATGACAAGAGCCATCCCTTGCCCCCATCCTTAAGGAGCTTCCAATCTATTACGTTACTAGACTCAGCTTTTCAGAAATAACACCAGAAATTTAAATATAGTTTCACAGGTATTAAAGAAATTCCATTAAACAACAGAAAAATATATCAGGACCCTTGAAATGAACACCTCTACTAGTCTACTACTTTTTCATAAGAATTGAAAACCACATATTTTTTCACTTAATATTTATTGTCTAGTATGTGAAGAATCCCAGGTATTCAAGAACAAGTGCAAGATAATCTCAAACTTCAGAGATCTCATGTTCCTAGGGATGGCATAGAAAGATCGGAGGGAGACAGTCACATAAACAATAATTACTTTGGGACATGGAGCCTGAAAACAAGAAGAAATGCACACTGCCTGGGAGCATCGTTGCAAATGCTGTTCTTTTAGCCTGAACACCCTTCTCATCTGTCTTTACTCCTCTCTCCCGCTCACCGGCAGATTCCATGTCAGCCTTTGAGCCTCAGCAGGAACATTACATCTCCTAGGAAGCAGTAGCTGACCATCCTGTCTGCTTCTCCCTTGCACCTTGTTACCTCCAGTTTTGCAGCACTTGCCACACTTTCTGGTATAAGTGCCTGCCTCCCCTCCAATTCTGAGCACCTTAAAAGCAGGAGCCACTTTATTTGCCTTTGTATCCCTAGCACCCGATGTAAAGCCTAACTCACAGGAATTGCTCAGTCATTATTTTTCATTGAATTGATTCGTTATGAAATATGCCAACATTTGAATAGGATTTGAAGGATGTGTGGGACTTAGCATGACAGACTAGGAGAAGCATGGTGCAGGCCAAGGGACAGTGCTGTGAAAAACAATTCTCTTTGGGGGAATTTGTTTGAGATGGCTGTGATTTTTGGCATGTGAAGCTAAAATGACAGGGAAGAGCCTGCTTTTGAAGGAAGGAATCACAGCAGGAAAGTTTGCTATAAAATAATGCCAGTCATTACTTGATCACCTGGAGTTGATTACAGTAAATGTACCAGCTGTATGAAAATATGCAAAGTTAATTCTGTCCAGTGTCCCTTTGAGGGCTACATAAGAAGGGCCTGAAGAATTATCATCTAAAAATGTCTTCTGCTCCCAAGAGATCACTTAGAAGAGACAGGCCTAGGGCTAGCATTGGAGCCAAGGCGACAATCTGTAATGTTACTTTATCTCTATAATAATTCTTTGCACCCATCTTGTTCTTCCTGCCCTGACATTACAGGAAGTAAAGCAATGAATGGCTCTGCAGCTAAACTACAGCAGTATTATTGTTGGCCAACAGGAGGTGCCACTGTGGCTGAAGCACGAGTCTACAGGGATGCCCGAGGCCGTGCCAGCAGTGAGCCACACATCAAGCGACCAATGAATGCATTCATGGTTTGGGCAAAGGATGAGAGGAGGAAAATCCTTCAGGCCTTCCCTGACATGCACAACTCCAACATTAGCAAAATCTTAGGTGAGTACAGGGGCACAGCTAATGCTGACCTTTCACCCCATGAGTGCTGCATGAGTGGAAAACAGGGGCAGAACTAGGCTCTCAAGGGGGACTGTGGCTGGAGAAGCCAGATGAAGTTTAGTCAGCTGCAATAGCAGCTTTTGTCATCATCTCCTCCTCCCCAGAACATGGCATTTAGGTTTGGGACTTACCGCATCTACCACAGCAGGTGGCTAAAAACTGATTTTAAAGGCAGACTATAGTATCGTATTAATATTGTAAATTTAGCAACTCATAAGAGGAGACTGCTAAACAGGAATCATGGGGACTAGATTTATCTCTTTATTCAATCTTTTTAAATTTGTAAGTTGCTATACAGCCTTGGAAATACTCATAGATCTTAGGTTTTCTGCTCTAGTATTCTTGGGTTCATATGTCCCACTGAAAGAATTCATCCAGGACTAGAGTGAACCCCAAAATGGTGTGAAATTCATAGAGTACAGAACAGAGCCTCTAATGATAACTTTTAAACTTGTAAAATAAAACTACATTTATTTTAATAAGATATGACTAGTTCAAATTTCATAGCACTGTGCTGAACACATAGACCACAGGGCAGAGCCCCATTTTGTGGTAAATTGCCAGAGTGATTCTCCCGTTTCTCAGGATTAAACTCAAACCTTGTTCTCTTAGCATAAAGCTTGCCTAGCGCAGATTATACAGTTTAGAATTATTGTGCTCAACATATTGAACATATTTTATCCAACATGCAGCATTACAGTCAACATGTTTCCTCTTTAAAAAGAAAAATCACAGAAGGCACTGTTCTACTTAAGCTGTCATAATGTGACAAAATCTCAAAGGGAGCTGTTTAAGAAGCTGAAAAACATTAGAGACTTAAACTGTGGTTTTAATTTTTTAAATGTTTTGTTCAAAGGCAATAAATATTTAACCTGAGTAAATATCAGTGATCTGGACATATACAAATACACATGTTTTGTTACTGTATAAATAATTTAACTAGATTCTGAGACATTTTGAGGCAGTGACCTCTGAGAAAATTTAAAACATACATAAGCTCAGATAGTGATGAAATGTTAAAATGCAGGTTTTTCTCTCTTTTTTTTTTTCATTTTGACTTCTGAATTTAAAGATGGATATTTAATGTCATTATAATTAAGTGGGATTTTTGCTGTTTCAGAGATTAATACATAGAGATGTTATTCTTTTTAATTTAAATATCCTCCAAACCAAAATGTTCCTAATGAGCAGACTTTTTTTTTTCAAATTAAAAGACATTCTAGAAAATGCCAGTGCTACTTTGGCCTTATAATTTGATATCTGACGTTGAGATCTTCATATTTGTTTCCTATTGGTTTAGTAGTAATGTGAGCAAGCTTTCAGATGGGTACAGACCCTCTCTGTTTCCACTTTGGCAGCTGTGGAGAATCTGTATTATTAGTGTGTATTCTGTGAAAAAATTATTAGGAATACAGTAAGTATATTCATTAAAATGTAAACTTTTAAGCCCAGGCATTTCAAGAGTATCGAGAATCCTCTGTTAACTGGGGCTTAAAGCTGCTGGGAGCCAGCAGAACAGAGAAAAACCTATCTGCATAGATGTTCTACACAACTTTTGCACAACAATCAGGAAAGAACAGGGATGGATGTGCTATTAAAGCAGACCAGGATATTGCTGGCTACAGAGAATATTTGTACAACTTTTCCATTTGTTTATGTATGAAAAATCTCCCCCAAAGAATAGCTAACATCCAGTCTGCACAGCTGTTACCGCTTTTTCACCAGCGAGACACAAAAATGCAATTTGATACATGTAAAAAAACACATCCCTCCTTCGTCAAGTGTTTAGATAATTCTTTATAAACAATATTAGAGAAGTGAATGCTTCTCCTTCTTCCTGTATAAACCATATTAAAAATTTTTGTACTTTTATTCGTACAACTTTCAATGGATGTGTTTATAATACTTGAAAATGGTATATATAATTCCAATGGTACCTTCCTGTTCTAAAGCTATAACTTCTGAAGTAGAGTTTTAGTTTTTTTTTTTTTTTTTTTTTTTTTAATTATCAGAGGCCAGGGGAGACAGTGTACACAGGAGACTTTTATATATGGAGGGATAGCAACATCAGCTGACATCTTATCAAAGGTCAACTTTGTTAAAGATGCTTGGAGTATTGGGAGATGTTTGAATTTCTGGAACCAAGAAAGCTTTTCCTGCGAATCCTGTCATTCTCAAAAGTATGCTTAGCAAGTTCAGGCTTTTTTAACCCTGTAGAAAGAGAGAGAGAGGCAGATGACTAGGGAAAGACGTTGGTATAGGAGATGATCTTTAAACAGCAAAGATATATTTTAAAATAACAATATCATCAGCCTTAAATCACTGAGAGAAATAAATACAACAAATGCATTTTGTACAAAATTTTGTTGTTTTGCTCTATCATCTAAAAGACTGGTTGGGAAATTCAGGGGTATGTGGCAATAGGAGCTACCCAGAACAGAGGTGAGTGAAGCAGTGCCAAGGGTCCATCTAGTCATATTTGCCTGGAATATGTTGCCTTGACCATTTGGGTAATTAGGCTATTTTTATGTCTAGGATCTCGCTGGAAATCCATGTCCAACCAGGAGAAGCAACCTTATTATGAAGAGCAGGCCCGGCTAAGCAAGATACACTTAGAGAAGTACCCAAACTATAAATACAAACCCCGACCCAAACGCACCTGCATTGTTGATGGCAAAAAGCTCCGGATTGGGGAGTATAAGCAACTAATGAGGTCCCGGAGACAGGAGATGAGGCAGTTCTTTACAGTGGGGTAAGTATTCCTGAATATGGCCATCTGGGCTTTCCTTTGCAGGAAAGTATAAACCTCAGGATGGCTACTGGTAGTATGTTTGGGAAATAGATTAGAGAAGGGAGGAGGTTGGGACATGATGGAGGGCTTTGGCTGTGAGAAGCTTTGCTGTGTCCCAAGTGGGCAGCCTTGCAACGTGGCTCCTACGCAGTTCAGAACAAACCTGCAGCAGGTCACTCCCAACTGATAGCCCCTTTCATTGTCTTCCATTCTAATCTAAGGTATTCAGTGCCCACACACAGAGTTTTTCATACTTTATTTAGACAGACACATAGGGAGAAAAAAATAAAAACTAACTTTAAGAAATCCCCAGAAGCTTCTCAGCTTCTCTGGGTGGTGCTTCTGACTCTAATCACAATAGTCTGCTTTTGTTGTGGGATCTACCACAAGATAATTGGCCTTGACATTGGTTAGAAGACCTCATTTTTGGCATGAGATCCAGAACTCCTGTTGCAGTAAATTATTCTGTGGTGGAAGCAGTAACAATGTGGATTTTCTTGCTTAAATCAGAAACTAGACATGTTTTTGATATCTTCAAGTCTGATTTCATGTCATTTTGTTTAAAAATTAGGTAATAGATTTCTGGTATAAATTTCGACTTGGCTGACTGGCTGTCTGCATTCAAAAGAGGCCCCTCCTAACCACAGTAGTCAGGATAAGTGGGGATGCAGATGCCTGTAGATTCCAGCACACCCAGACCTAGAAGCACAGGGGGGTGGAAACCAGGGGACCATTCTGGAGGCACTGGCTGAAGCAGCTGGAATCAGACACTTGGGAAAGGGCTTTGGAGAGAGACAAATGGAGGAAGCAAAAAAGGAAGCTGCATTTGTTGTTAAGGTGAAGGAGAACTGAGGAATTATTTTGTGCCTTGGAATAAGAAAGTTTTGCTTGAAAGTGAAACAAGAGATACCTTAAACATGAAGTAAAGAGCTATTTCTGTGTAAGGATGCTCAAAAGATAGCTCCTTGGAACAAAAAGCTGGTTTTAGAATAATAAAACTAATTTGAATTAGTAAATAAAATACAAACTTCAACAAACCAGTGAAAGTCATCTGGGCTCTGAGTCTGCAGCACCTTAGTGTCTTAGGGAGGATTATGCCTTGAAGTTTGGGGGTCAGATACTGACCAGGTCAGCTTGAGCTGGACATTTACCAGCTTGAGCTGGAAATTTACCTTCTCTAAGCTGTTTTCTCACATATGAAATGAATAATAGCACCTATCATGTACAATTATTGAGATAATTCAATGTGGCACTACTTTCAAAAGTATGTTACATCATGCTTAGTATAGTACCCATAAAGATGAACTCTAGCATTACCATTTCTATTTAATATGTATTTACTATCACAGTAAAATTGTATGTTATATCACAGTAGATAATCAATGAATTACTTTATATTATTGTAGCATCTTTGGGGACAAAGACTGGCTTAAGCCACTTTATTATTTGAAGATTCTAATATATTTATTAGCCTGTCTTCATGCTAAAATAGGATTATTAAATTCCTCTGTATTAGAAATGTTTACATTTTTAAAAGTAATATTTTTAACACAAAAAGTACAATGCAATATAATTGGACTATTGACATGATGGAGGATTTATGAAAAATTCCAACTCATAATGCTCTTTGGTTGTAGAATCATAGGTAGCCAAATACAAGTTTAAGACTGTATGGTAAAGATCTTCTTGTAACCACCTCCCTATTAGTGTATATCTTATATATTCTCTTTTGAGCAGAGAATCAAAAGTTTAAATTTGAGATCCTCTGTGATTTCTGCCCCTCTCCCTAGTCATGTCCCCTGTGTACTGGGTGACAGTGAATCTCACCACAGTCTAAAAAACTATCAAATGTACTATTTTAGTTCCCTGATAATATATTTGAAAACATGAATTGTAGTAATATTATTTATCTTTGTTCCCTTTACTAAAGGACCAAGGGTACATTAAAACAGCTATGAATCAAAATAGCACATACCAGTGCTTCTAAAATATAAAACTTAAATAACTACTAACATCTACCACTTATTGCTTATGCTGTGCTAGGTGTTTGGATATACAAATCATGTGGTCCTCTAAGTCAGAGAAAGGAACTGCTTTAGAGCAGTCCTATGGCTCCAAAAGATGAGAAGACTCAAAGGATTAAATCCAGGTCTCAGCCTCCACCATGCTGGCTTCATAGGAGCTGTCCTCACTGTGTTTCCTCAAAACATGCCTGACAGCCCTGCTCTAACACAGCCATGAGTGTAGCTGTACCTCTTGAGCAGAGCTCTTAGAAAACCTGGAGAAAATGAGGGGTGACATTGTGGAATAAAGTGTATAAAAGGATATTTGAAATTTAGAGACAAGGAATGCTGTTCCTAATAGTGTAGGAGAGTTCGTTGTGGAAGGATGTTTTAGACTGTGGATTGGGGCCATGACCAGAATGTCTTGTTCTTTAATCTTCAATGCTGAGCATTTTCCTCTGCCCAGATTTGGTAATATTTACTACATAAATCCAGGTATTATTCCCACTTATGGATTTGTGTTTTCTTTTAAGTAGTTCTATTTGATAGATTATTAGCTTCCTGAGACTCATCTTTGAATATTGATCTTCATTAGATGTAAGGTTATGACAAGAGAAGCAGGGAAAAAAACAAACAAAATATTCAAAGATTGCTATTGACTTCTTGATGGAACGGGAGTGAGATCAATTTTTATAGCTGATTTTGAAAAGACTTGCATAACTTTCAAGCCAATAAAACTATATATTACTCAACATTTTTGTGCATTTTACTGACTGTACAACTGTAGCTGATGAGTTAGTTTTTTTTTACTTAGCTATTATGAAATGAATTTGTCAATAATACTGAATAAAGTTAGCTCTTACCTTGGATTTAACCCCTCAATGTCAGATTAAGTATCAGAATTTGATAGAAATCCTGATAAGAGTGCTACAAATGTAGAGATGATATTCATTTAGATCCATACAGCTACAGTGATGTCTTTTTCTAAACAATTAGGACCAAATGTATTTTCTGTATTTGGAAACTTACTTAGTAATTTATTTGTGAACTGACATCGAATCATGCAGGTACTATAAAATATTAATGTTGGGGCTACTACTTAAATAATAATAATGGTAAAATTATTGAATACTTATTGTATGCTCTTTACTGTACAGAGAGAATTATACAGATTATCACAACTACATAAATTTGCAAAATAGGTAAGGTAATGTTTTCTCCATTATAGGGTTGAAAAACACAATGTTCAGAGATGTTAAATAATTTGTCTAAGGCCACACAGCTAGTAAATGGCAGGGCTGAGATTTAAACCAGGCACATGTGAATGTGAAACATATGTCCTTTTTACCATTACACATAACTCTCAATTAGAGCCTACAAATTGTTTAGAGGCTGTATAGTGTAGTGGTTAAGAGCATCAATTCTGGAGCCAGACTGTTCTGGCTTAAATATGAGATTTGTTTCTTTCTTACTGTAGGAACTGATGCATGTCAATCTTTATTTATCTAAACCTTCCACCTGCCCTTGGGAAACTTATTTAAACTTTTTGCACCTTATATGTAAAATGACAATAAAAACAACAATAAAAGTCCCTTCTAAAGACTGAATAACTTAATACAGGAAATACATGACACTCAATGACCTCTAAATTAGAATAAATATTATTATTCAAGAAAAATCATACTATGTGCCCAGTGAATATTTGACTACTGTATTAGAATTATTTTCCTACTTCTTTATGCTATAAGTGATTTGAACATTTACCACTTTGATCTAAATCCTAATGGGGTTAAATCACCTGTAAACTATGTACAAATATAGTTGAATTACATAGACCAGCCTCACTGTTTTCAATATTATCCTCTTGTAAAGAAGCTGTGTAAGAATCTCCAATACATAAAGTATAACGATTGCTATTATTTCTATTCCTTTATGTAACGTCAACCACAGAGATGTAAAGCATATAGCTTTATCTTTTCATGAAACAAACTTTATTGTCTTCATTTATAGACTCTGGAAGGGTCTGAAGAGTCAGCAAATGATGGGGCTTTGCCAAAATAAATATGTGGTCCTTTATAACTGGCAAAGCTAGACCTTATTCTAGAAACATTCTTATGATTTGAAAACCATGCAGCAATGCTAAGCTCTGTCAGGGCCAGCTTATACTCTTTACTTGGTCTGGGAAGGAGGGTTCTTAGTCACCTCTGTTCTTATCAGCTGCATGTATACACTTTTATAAACATCTACAATTTTTGTTTTGATGTGCACATTCATTATTTGTAAAGCCCAATACTGCCAGCTACTCCTATTTGTGAAATCTGCAGTGTTTGAATTTTGACTTAGAAATTGATCTGTAAAGGAAGGAAAAATGCTTTTTAGAAAGTAATTCCTAATAGACAAAGCTTGAGCCTGCTGGCTGGATTTTTCATTCTGTTCATTGATTAGCCAGTCAATTGGTAAGGGAATATTTGAAACCAGCTAGGTACCCAACATTGCACTAACTTAATACGGCACTAACTTAATAATGATTCTATACACATGAACTTTCAGCAAATGCTATAGTTCAAGAAGCTAGACACAAACATGAATAAATTAGCAAGTAATAGTTTGTTATGCACACTCACAGAGAACATATAGTGTTATGCATATAACATATAATGACATGCTAATCTTGATGTTATAGAACGAGCAAATAAAGCTCAGAGGAAAAGAGATTACTATGCATTAGGGCCAACAAACCATAGGGTATCCTTGGGGAAGGGACTTGAGTTTTGGGCAGGTCAAGCAGGTAGAAAGTAGATTCCTGTTTTAGGATAAAGAAAACATGAACACATGGGAATGAAAATGGCTTGTTCAATAATGAAAAAGATGACCAGTCTAGAAATTTTCCCTGGCAATAAAGAAAATGAAAGATAAGCAGGCTGAGCAATATTTTGGAAGTCCTTGAAAGTCACTTCTTCAGATTCAACTGTTATACTTGCTTAATTTTTTTAGTCTCTCTTTATATTGATAATGACAATAAGATCACCATGACAGTTAGCTTATGGTTTCATATCCACAGAACCAGCTTAACTTCAGATGTCGTGTACTTCATGTGACCAGCCACCATCCTGGCCCAGGCTGCCCCAGAGGCAGAACTTTCCACCTTTCATGGGAGCTGTTCCTTTGTGAAACATGTCCTATTTTCAGAAAGTTCTTTTCCCCTAACTGAGCTATATTCTGCCTCTCTACTACTTTGTAGGCTGGGTCTAGTTCTCTTCTTTGGTCTCTCCTAGAACAAATCTTTCCCTTATTTATGAGGACAATGATTCAATCCTCTAAAGATGATTATGTCATATCTTTCTCCCCCTTCTTACCCATACATCTAGTCTCACTCTTTTCTTTAGATTAGGCTACCTACACTTTTCATTTGTTTTCCTCTCATTCACTAGTTTTGTCCATTCATTCATTCATTTATTCATTCCATGTATTCAACATTGAATACCTTCTACGTTTTAGGTATTGTGTAGGCTCTGGAGCCATGTCAGTGAAAATTTCTGTGGTGATAAAGCTTACATTCTAGTGTTAGAAGTCAGACAATCAATCAATAGAGAAATAAATAAATATAAAATAATGGTAAGTGCCTAAAAAAAGCATACCAGGAAAGAGGCAGGAAGTTTAAGAGGATGGGTGCGATTTAAATAGGATGGCCACAGAAAACCTCACTGAGAAGGTTTGAGCAAAGACCGAAGCAGGTGAGTGCAAGCTCTGCAGACATCAGGGAAATTAAGTGGGCAGAGAAAGCAGCAAATGCACCGGTCTTGAGGCAGTTTGCTCCTGGCTGGTTCAAGAAGAAATAGAAGGCCAGAATGACAGGAGAAAAGTAGAACAAGTATGTGGGAAGAACAGTAGATGTCAGAGAGAGAGGAGAGATCCCAAATGTGAAAGGACTTGATGGCCATTGTGATGACTTTGATCTTCGTCACAGTGCAGGGGAGGTCACAAAACTGAGGTGGCAATGTGGTGGAATGATCATTGCATGGATGGTGAAGCCATCAAGAGTTATGGCAAGGGTAATATTAGAGAGAGCAACCAACATCTTTAAGGAATGAGGGGGAATGACTAGCAGGAAGGAGATAAGGGTGTGGTGGGAGGCATAGTTTGGTAGCATGAGATTCAAAGATGAGGATTTTAAGATGTAGGAATAAAAGATAGTTTGTAAGAGACAATGAGGCACTAGAAAGGAAGCTACCATACCTCCAGGCCCATTTGAATGAGAGGTGTGGAAGGCAAACAGCCAACTCTTAGGAGGGCTGTAGGGGAGCAGTGTCCTAAAGAGAGCAAAGTGTCAGTGAGAGCAAGGTGTGGCAGTGACATTGAGTTCTAGAGGGAACAGGGAAAGAAGTCAGGAATTGGAGGAAGGAAGGAGTGTAGGTTAAAGGGTTGCACAGAACCAAATGTTAGCCTTTGGGGACTTTTTTCTTTGTAGAGTCATTTCTCAGAAGATACCCACACTTTCCTGGAAACCCTTTTTACACTGGATACCCTTCTCTATATGCACTGCTGTAGAGGAAGCCTTCTCCAGCCTGGGCAGTGGCCGCGAGGATTGTTGTATAATCTATTGTTGCAACTGATCCCAAATGCCTCCTGAGGGCCAGGGCTCATAGATAGTCCAACCTATCACCTTGTCATCCAGTGTCCTCCTAGACCCAGAGTAAGCTCTCTGTGTAGTTTACTCCAACTTCCCAATGGGGAATGAGAAGGGAATTATCATTGAGGACTTACTCTACATGTATAATGCTTTACTTATATGTTCTTATCGAATCGCCTTGACAGGCTGTGAGGTGAATGTAGTTATCCTAACATTCTGATGCTTAGATGAATAGAGGGGATGTCCATGATGATAATTAGCCTGCCCAAGATCACACAACCAATAACTGGTGGAGTTAGGATTTGAACCCAAGTTTGACCCTGAGCTCTTTGCACTATACCACAAACGTTTCTTCCTAGAAGGCCTTCCTGAAGCAAAGCCATCTCTCACAGTGATAAGTTCTCACTCTAGCATTCACAAAACAGTTGTGTGTGATTGTGAGACCCTTACCAGAGCCCAGCATTTCTTAAAATCCAGGGAGTAGCCCCTGAATTCAAACTATCACCATTTCAGACTTTGGCACTGGCTGTGGGCTCAAAACAGCCCTCTCAATCCACAACCCACATAGGCTTTTGAATAGCCCATGTGCCTCACTCTGGAAAGTGAGTTGTACAAATGCTGTATTTGCTTGTTTATTTTTTAATATTTCATTACCAGCTTAGAAGACCAGCTTAGAAGATTTTGATTCTGATTCAAATTGCTATGTATTTTTCTGACAGTGTGAGCTTGCCTTTCTCATCCCAGTCTTGATATCTATCAGAGAATTTATGACAGGGAAGAACTCAACTCCTGGCTGTGGAATTTGTATTTCTTTACACAACCAGTTTAGCCTCTGAACCTCAACTGGTCACTTCTGCTGTGAAGAGGGAAAATGCTAGCCTTTGGTTTATTATGAGATAATATGAAAGCATCTATGTATATAGTCTCTCCACACAGAGTAAGAGCTCAAGTTAAATTTATTTAATAGACATGAAGATATTTTTAAGAATGAACTTCAAAAATGACAATCTGTTCTTTGTGAAAATAAATGTCCTTTGTGGAAATAAAATGTCCCATTTAATAGTTTGTGTTAATTGCAGAGTTTAGATTAGCTTGCTAAATTGGAAAAAATCTGTAAAATGGGTTAATATTGCAGTAAGGTCTTGCTCTACACTCTAATAATGTGATTAAGGCAAAAAAATTTCTATTGCAATTATCAAAACTTAGTTACCAATTCAATGAGGCATTCACTGCCTTGGGCAGGTTAGCATGAAATTTAATATGTGATAATTTACCCAAAACTTAGCAAAATGTATATTGCTTTTTAGAATTTGATTCAATGAGAGAGGGTAACCAGCATTTTATAAGATGTTTCTATACATAGATTTATACTCCTCTATAATTTGCTTCTTTCAGGCAACCAAACTCAACAAATGAATTATAGAAATTGAAACAATATCAGTGCTTAGTGTCAATTGGGTGCTGATAGGTTCTATAGAAGTCAGAAACTTTTATGAAACATAGCAAGCTTAGTATATCTGTGTATTGAACTCTATTAAGAAGGATGGAATTCAAAAAATCAGTTGACAACATAGGTTCAAATTCTAGTTTTTCCAGTATGAACACAGTACCTGAAGCAAGGCCTTATTTTCTTTGAAAAATGCCAGTAGTAATTAAATGAAATCACACACACACACACACACACACACACACACACACACAGTATTTTACATATTATGTTAGTGAAAGGTGATGGAATTGTGACTATGTTTCATGGCAATCAAAGGATATTTTTAATGGTAGCATGGGCAGACATTACACAGTATTTCCAAGTCATTACCATTCTCCCTCTACTTGACTGGAGGGAAGCTGGCCTCGGTGAGGAGAGTATGCTCCTCCTGGACATGCCAGAGTAGCTGATAACACAGCACTTTCCTCATGGATTCAGGTATCTTCCTGTGAGAGTGGGGTAGACAGAGTTTCAATGATAGTGTATAGGGTTAATAGCAATTGTCCAAGCAATAACTGGTCTGAAGCCAGAGCAAAAAATGGTGGAAGAATCTTCCAAAACTTTCATGACCCCAACTTTTACAATATATGAAAAAGAAGGCTCAAAAGGGTGGTGCCAATGACACTTTGAAATGAACACTCAGCCATAATTTACTGTCTCTAAAAACTGAGGACTACTTGGTGAATATTACATCTTTGAACATATTATTTAGGTATAGTCTCTGAGTTAAGTAGATCTTCAATTCTTGTGTGCCAGTTATAGTGCTTAAGTGAAATTAAGAGACAGAGTAGCCATGTCTCCTTACAGAGGCAGAGGTTGACCTTCACAAAGAGTCTGATAAGTTTATGTGAACTAGGGTCACGTTATAAAGAAGTGATCTGGTGTGACCAGGCCCTGGCACATGCTGGGATCTTGGATGAGGCAGCATGTCTGGTGGCTGTTATTCACTTAGGTTGCAGGCTCACCACTGTCTGCTCCCAACTTCTTCAACCTAGAACTCAGGCTTAAGAAATCCAAGATGATTGTTCCATAAGTTCCTGCCCTGCCAGGTCAGCACTGAAATAAGTAGACATTTGCATGGATACCAAATAAATGCTTTGCTAAATCTGATTCTTTGGGACATATTAGTTCTTTTCTCATCTTGATAAAGATGACACCAATCTACTTACTAGTGTAATTATAATATGTCTCATGTCGCTGGTCTATTTTAAAAAATTCTCTCAGGGCACTCAAAAAAAATGATCTCACATATAACTTGATGGTATTAACTATAGCACTTGTCCTTGACGTCACATGTTAGCCAGGCCTTGCCATATTTGCCAACCTAAAAGAGTTCTGCCTGTATGTTGCAAAACCATCAGTAAATTGCTCCATTATGCTAATTTAACCCCCAGTCATAGTGTCAGGGAGAGTGCCAGGACTACTCCAAGGAACACTTGTCACATTTTATCACTTGCTTAGGATGTTAAAGAGGACACCCCTCTGACAAGTGTGGGGGATAAAGCCCAAAGCCACATGAAAGAACGTACATAGATCTATTATATAGAGATATTTCCCCTCTATTTCATTTTATTTTTTGAATCTATACAGGCAACAGCCTCAGATTCCAATCACCACAGGAACAGGTGTTGTGTATCCCGGTGCTATTACTATGGCAACTACCACACCGTCACCTCAGATGACATCTGACTGCTCTAGCACCTCTGCCAGCCCAGAGCCCAGCCTCCCAGTCATCCAGAGCACTTATGGTATGAAGACAGACAGCGGAAGCCTAGCTGGAAACGAAATGATTAATGGAGAGGATGAAATGGAAATGTATGACGACTATGAAGACGATCCCAAATCAGACTATAGCAGTGAAAACGAAGCCCCGGAGGCTGTCAGTGCCAACTGAGGAGTTTTTGTTTGCTGAATTAAAATACTCTGACATTTCATCCCCTTCCCCCAACAAAAAGTTCTTAAAGAGCCCGCATGCATTTGTGGCTCCACAATTACATCAGCAGAATGGTCTTAATTGTTTCGTAAAGTGTGAGACAGATTAAGTTTTCCCTGATTTTTCATGAACTTGAGTTTTTTGTCGTTATTGTTATTGTTGTTGTTGTTGTTGTTCTAATTTAGGTGAAGACATATTAAATATGAGACACCAGGACTTGAAAACTTATCTCAACCCATAGCTGTCTTACAAGTCTTATATTTTTGTCTTACTTTTTTTTTCTTTTGGATGTTGATAAAGGTTTAAGTTACTGTTTTAGATGGGGTTAAACATTCTCACTCAGGTATGCTGTGCCGGCCTACAGGTTGTGAATGTGTTTTTATTCTGAATTACTTTAGAAAACAACTGAGGATTTCGTATCGTGAAGCAGGACTAGTCCACGGCATGTGCCGCTGCGTGCAGAGCATATTCAGAAGGCCTCGGAATTCCATTTCTCCGCGTGTAGAGTTAAACTTTGAATGTGCCAAACTTTTTCATAACTTTTGAATCTTAATATTTTGAAAGTCTTAAAGGAGATACTGCAAAGTCTTAGACAATCTTTGGCATCTTAAAATAAAATAGCAAACCACACTTTTTTTTTCCAGAAAATGGTAAAGTACTCAGGAATCTGGAGACAAGATATTGTAAGGAATGAACAAGGTTGCCACAGTGCATGTACCCAATTGTGTTTGCCTCTTGACGTGCCATCAGTGCGTGACGTGGTATGACATACACACACCAGAGCCATCACCACACCAGATACCGAATTGGTGGTCTTCTCTGCCCAAGACCACCTCTCACTACATCCATTATCCCTTTGCCTTTAACCCTGACATTCAGTCTTAACACATTTTCTCTTAAATAATTTATTCATTCCAGAATGTCAAGGGTCCATTTACTATTTATTTTAAAAAAAATGTTGGTGGCATTAATTTAATAATTCTTGTTTTTCACCCTCCTTCCCTGAAGAACTTTTTAGCCCTTTTCATCTCCTTCTCCTGCTAGATACAAAAGATGTACATATTGATTTTATGTCCCCAGAGCATCTGGAAGCATTTCTGAAACAAGATACTATTAAATACCTATCTTTATTGTTTTTAAAGATGATTGTATATCTGGCTACAGGGCTGTATATTTGGGTCTAGGTGTATACTCTTACACTTAACAGGTATGCAGGTATGCCCCTGAGGTTCGCTGTGACCTTGAGTCTTTTGCCAGAGTTTCCCCCAGTTCAGTTTGCAACAAGCGGTAGGATCTGCATTGGCAGCATTTCCTCTGAATTCCATTCAGCAGTAAGAGTCAACAGTGGTGGCTGCCAGGTGGGAAAGCAGCAGAATCCTGCAGCCAGACCTGAAGCCCAAGGCTTGTGGGCCATGTAGAGTATACAGTGCCACTATCATGGGCTGGCACCTTTACACTGAGTTGCCTAGCTGGCATATCCAGGGAATTCTTTGCAAGTTCCAGGATGAAGGAAGCCAGATGACATTCTCAAAGCAAAGATAGAGGCAAATAGTCATGGAACATTCAGAGAACGAAAGAAAACCATAGGGAAGGAGAAGGGGGGGAATACATTCCCTGTATGGCATGTTCCTACTGTCAATTCTGGGGAACAGATAGCTCATGAGACAGCAAACCTTTGGCTGACTCCCTGTATCTACGTCTATAAGATGAACTGCACTTGTCACTCAAGGAGAGCTCTGGAGATGTGCTGCTGGGCTTGGAGGCAGTGAGGTTTCATTCCCCATCTCCTAACTACAGGAAGCTCTGCGATGCCATTCAGACCTTCCTTAACCCAGGGCCTATTGCCTGTGGGGGAGCTACTCCCAGAGTGATTTAGTGGGAGAGTGTCAGAGAATGAGACAGTTTGCCTCATGGGACAACCCAGAATCTGATCACCAAGACATAGGAATGGCCCCAACAGATTTCTTGAGCCATTTTGTCACTTGGAAGAAAATAGTATATCTTCATATTTATTTAAAGAGTGCTCCAGGCCAAACCTAATAGCAATAAATAGGTTGAGCCAAGCTGTCACCGGCTCTGACACTAGCTGGGAGTGCTCTCTATAAGCTGTTGAAGGTACTGATAGGAATGTTTTGTTCTTAATATTGATTGGGGATTGGAACTTTGTTCTTGTACATTTCTTTCAAATGAGGAGGAGGTCATTTTTCTTAAAAAAATGAATATTTATTATGTCTTACTGATTTCTTTGATTATATACCTCTCCTTCTCAGTTCATTCTCATGTTTTCTCCCCTTTCTTTTTGGTTTTGGCTTCTGCGCTCACTCCTTTCTTATTGTGCTGCATAGGTAGTGTGTTGTATGACTAGCATTGTATTGTATGTAATTAATTTTGCACAAAGGCGAACATTTAGCATAGTAGGTTAATTTTGTTTGTTTTTATGACCATGCCAAAATAATATTCTGGGCTGGTGGAGAACAAAGGACTGTTCTTTAGGACTGAAACTTGATTTTGCTTGTAGTAAGAAAAAAAAAAAACAACACACACACTCACAGATGTTGTTTCGTAAGTGTTATAAGCACTGGATATAAATGGTATTTTTTATCACTTCTGACTAATGTGAAACTGTTGTACGAAAACTACACGAACAAAAGTCATCTGTTTCGACTCGTGTGGGCTTGCCTCACAGTTGCCGGATTTGAGTCATTTTTATGTCTTGTTATTTCATTTATTTATGCAAAATACATGTGTGTATGAACACTTTGTTTTAGCTCCAGCTCTGCCTCAGTACTGGGGGTGCAGTAACTTCTAGCCATTTTCTTAAAAATGAAAGGCTATTCAGGAATGATCTGATTGTAAACGCCTCTTTCTTTGGCTCAGACAGTAATGCTGTATTAGAATCTAAATTTTGTGCATATGAAGTTTATTCTATTTATTAGCCAAGTTTGGCTCTAAATATTCATGGAAATTAAGGATGACAATCATCGGGATCACTTCATTATATTTCAGTGGGGCTTAAACAAAGTTTTTATGACTTTACCATCTCATTTTAGAGTTTTCTAATTGTGTAAATATAACATAGAAATAGAATTTATTTTTGGTTCATGAGTACTTAGTGAGTGATAAGTTATGTATTTCTTTTTTGTTCTCTATCCATATGTGTTGATCCAAACTAGAAGTTGACGAGTCACTGTACTTGCTGGGGACAGTGAATTATCAGCTACAGTGAGGGCAGCATTCATCCTGCAGCTAGGCCAGCTAAGCCCTACACTCGGGTTCTTATTCAGTTTTGAGCCCGCTGTCCACAGACTCAGACTTTTCCCTTTTTTCCTTATAGAAAGTAGATGAATTGAACATAGTAAATTTCCAGTACATCTAGGAGAGAGTCAATTTGCTTTGTGAACCCACACGAACCTTCTAAGATAGTTCTTGTGACCATTTAATAGTAAGAAGCATAATGACATTTTAAAGGCAAAAATCTGCCTCTGTGATTGGCCATGAATAATGTCGCACCATGCCAGTTAAAGCATGTTGTCACCTTTTTTCAGTGCTCCCTACTTGATGGTATCTTCAAGTCAAAGGTAAAAATTATCTCCATTTAATTTAAAAGCATACAAGACCAGGGTTTTCTTTGTCGTTTGTGATAGGGACACTGGTAGACAATCCTTTCCTTAAAAAAAACAAAAAAACAGGCCATATAGAATAGGAAGGACGAGAAGGAAGGAAGAAAGGATGGAAGGAAAGAAGGGAGAGAAAGGAAAGTTCATCTGCGGACATGAGCAGCCAGCCTGGCAATTTCTCTACTTCAGGCAGTGTCCTTTGCAGGAAGGTGTGGAAGCTCTGTTGTTTTCATGAGGACCCAGCTCAGCCTTTCAGGAGCACATCAGTTTGCTTCATTTGGTATTTGATACTCTGCAGCCTTGTGCTGGGGCCTGGTTTGATTTGCCAGGGTCCTGACACAGACTCCCAGACCAAGTTCTAAATTCAGATGTGGGCTCACAGTGCTAGTGAGCTGGTCAAATTTTGGCCTTCCCTGGACATAAGCGCCCTGGGAGCCTGGGATGTTTGAAAAGGGTGTGATCTCTCTAGGGCTGAAATTAAAGGCTGCTTTCTTTGCCTTATGAAGCCATGCTGCTTCTTTGGAGCACACCCTCCTGAGCCAGGAGCACAGGGCTGGCTGAAAGCAGAGATTGTTTCAGGGAAGCCCATCTGCCCTCAGCAGGAAGGCAGCCTGGAACTTGAACACCACTGCCCAGGCTGCTGCTCTTGATTTACTTATTTTGCAAAGAGTTGACCTCTACCAACTCATTAGGGAAAGGAAAAAGAATCAGTTCGTAGTTTTAAACCATTCAAGAAGTCCTATACCAAGTGCCAACAACTGCAGAGGAATGCAGCTAGAGGAATGTATTGAAGTTATTAATGGGTCTTCCTTTTTAATGAGAACGTGGCAAAAATGGTTGCTGTAGCCTTGCCTGATGTCATGCTCGTTTATCCAAGGATTGAGTTGGCACTTAAGCTCACTTCTCAAAATATAATAATATCATATGACCTCATTTGTCCTTCTACAAAAGCACTTGCATCATTTCCTTAAGTCATCTGCCCCCTGATGTGTTTTCCTCCTCAATAAACAACTTCTGTTACTTCTGCCGATCATGTTCTGTTTCTGATGCCACATGCTATGGAACGTGCCCCTGTGCTGATAATCATTAAAAATATTGATATGCAAATACATTTCCTTTTCATCCCCATCTCATCTTTTCCTTTGGGGACAGATTGCTTTCCAAAAGCTCATGAACTAGTATTCCGAATGCTGGTACCTCCAGGGGCAGAGGGGAGGGTTGGGTGGGGTAGTGACAGAAAGGTCTTGCTTCCTGCAGATACTCTTCCAATCAGTGTCCGTGGCAATAGGAACGCTTGAAGGCAACTCAGTGACACATCTTGCTCAGTAGTTTCTTATTCCTGAAGAACCACAAGCATAAAGTGAGGCCTCAGTGCTGGTGCTCTTGGAGTATGGGGAATGTGCAAATATTTAACTGTTTTGTATGCTGCACATTGCAGATCTGCTCATGTGCATTCTCCGTTTGTCTTCCTTTGTCATGTGTGTTTTTGCTTTTTTGAAAGTGCAGTCTTTATTGTACCCTTCTCCAGCTTGTAGCAAATTAGAATGCTTAGCATTTATGTTCATTCATTATTGTATTTGCCATGTAAAATTTTTATTACCTTAGACAAGCTTATAAGCTGTTACTACATAACTTATCTTACTGTAACTCTTTTTATTTCCTGACATTGTAATTTGTTTGTGATGTATATTGTGAGATTGTATTCTATGTTAATTTAATCAGCACAATTCACTGACATGCTGGACTGACATGCTGGCTGCTGTTTCGAAGTGTAAAGTTTGTGTAGGGCTGTTGGGACAACTGTAACTCTGTTGTCAAGGTACTGTGCTTTGGTTCCTATAGCAACACTGTGGGTGTGACCCTTGAGACTCTAGGGACATCTAATACACCCTGGAGCAAATTTTAACTGCAGATTTTCTTTGTAGAAATTCTATGTATAACACAGGTACCTACTTGGCCCATGGCTGATAACTATTTGGGCAATTAGAAAAAAACAAAAAACCCATAAAAACTAGTGTCTATTGCTGCTTTGAATATGTTTGAAAGTCTGAAAATGTAAATAGTTTATCAAAAAAAAAAATCTTGTACAGTCCAGTGTAAAGTTTTTAAATGACCTTAAGGGTTGCCATCACATCTTTCTCACACTCTCCTCTTGATAATGAAAAAAAAAAAAAGTTCGCTAAGGATTCAAGAAATGGAAAAAAAAAAAGAGAATCTCTTCAAATTTAAAGGAATGGATCATTGTTCTTAGCTTTGTTGCATACACAAACCTCTTGGATTTTGTTGTGCAGTATTGACGTGAGATAAAACTCAACTCATTGAATAATCTTTCAGTGGTACTTTTCCAAGTCTTCCCCTCCTCTGCCTCATAATTAAGGGAAAAGACAAAATTGAAAGACGCACTCTGTCTATCCTGGTGTATGTTGGCACCTTAGCTACTTTTTTTTTTTTCATTTTTGCACAAGGTGCTTTCCTGATCTGTCAGACATGCCATCCTTGGGTGATAATGTATATGCCATGATGGGCTCAGGCCCGCAGGGGAGTGTCTATAAGAACTGCCTATTTATGCTCATTTACCTCAAGACTGTCCTCTCTACCCTAATCTAGTTGTCATCACTCCATCTTTTGTACTGCTGTTGACACTTACCAATTAAAGATAAATTTTGTTTTATGACCTCTGTGTACAGCTTCATCTGTTCCCCGAAAACAGTTCCCCCTAGACCCAGCATGCCCCAGGCTTGCCACCACCTGCGGCTGGAGCCCACAGAGCTCCAGTTCTGTGCCACAGCTTCTGCCTGGTGGGAGGGAGAAAGAGCCCAAACATCTTGGACTCCTTAGCCTGGAAAGACTTGCCTGCGTTTTTCATCTCAGAACATATACTGCTGCAGCAAGAAATGTTTATGGATTTAGATGGAAGGAATAGGATCCAAGGTGGAATTTTTTTTTTTTTTTTTTTTTTTTGTCAAGAGAAGATGAGAGAGAATGTCACTGCCTATTTTCCTGATTTCTTCACTAGAGCAAAACAGTTTCCAAAGCTCAGAGCATCCAGCTGAGATTCATGTGATAGGATCTCCAGGACCTGCCTCTCACCTGACACTGACTGCTCCAAGCCCAGCAGCCACAGCAGATGGGCTGCACTCAGGATCCTTCCCTCCACCATGGGTGGGATGCTTGGCCCATTTCTCATGCTTCTGCCTCAGAGAAGGAAGCTCCCATCTCAATGACCAGCAATGATTTGCATCTGGTGCAAAACTCAGCTCCCAGTGACTTGGCTTCTAAGTATACCCAAAACGATTTCCTGGTGCCTTGAGAGTCTGAGGGCAGGGCTTGGGTAGCGGGCTGCCTTGAGCAGGGTTCTTGAAGGAAGCTTGAGGAACCAGTCCCTGGAGTGCTGTGAATGCTCCAGATTAGTGACCCACAGAGTAGTGACCCACAGCTGCAGTGTGAAAGAGACAGAGGAGAGGCCCTGTGACTGCTGCTTTTGGTATTTCCTATGAAAAAATGCCTCATTAGAGAAGAGGATTTGTGAAACGTTCTTTATCCCAGGCAAATTGTAAGATTGATACAAGCTGCTTGAAGTTCTGCAAACCTGGCATCCCAGGATCCTCCTTCCTGCCCTGTGGGTTTTTTTTTTTTTTAAGCCTAAATCAGCCTAGGGCATTAGATTAAGAACAGTGTGGGTGGGAGGGAAAGGGAGGGAGAAGGGGAATAGCATGGATGGTGGAAGGAGACCCTCATCATTATACAAAATACATGTATGAAGATGTAAAAAAAAAAAAAAAAGTGTGGATTTGGGGAGTCACAGAGGCCTGGCTCTGCCACTTGCTGGTTGTGTGACCTTCCCTGAATAATTCTTCTGAGCCAGAGTTTTCCTCTCTGTAAAATGGGATTGTAATCTCTACCTATTAGGGTACTAGGGGTATGAAAAGGCAGAACTAAAATATGGCTGCAGGCCTGACTCCTCTGCCCAGATAATGTCTGAGCCAGCAGGGAGCATGGGTCAATGTCACCAACTGAGCCAGGTGAAGGGCCTGCCTAAGTTCTTGGCTCACATGAGGTCCTATATGTGATTACCACCCCAGTCTTCCTTTCCCTGTCACCTTCTCTGTTTGGTCAATTTCTACTTGTCTTTCACACACCATCCTCTGGTGCCTTCCCCAGACTCCCAGTTTTAAGCTCTTCCTCAGAGTTCCCATGGTACTTTTAAAGGACCTCTCTGATCTGCTTTATCACATCATAATGATTTGTTTGTCTTTTCTGCTAGATGATGACGGATGAATGCACTGAGATTCTTTGCTTTAGGAAGACGCACAGCTGGGTACCAGTGTGTCTGTGTCTAGAGCCACAGCTCCATTCTTCCTCCTAGGCATCTTGGCTAGAATGTGGAAAAGGATAGACTGAAACAGGAACTGTTTATGGGTTTGCCTTACTCTTTCCTTGACTTCCCAGGTACCCAAGGTAACCTTTTACTCCTCTCTGAGACAAAGAGTACTGAAGGCCCTGTCCCCAGGCATCCTACCTAAAAGGAAGCCAGCTGCCTTCACTTGGGGTGGAGGAGGGCAAGGAGCCCAACTGTGAGCAGCTGTTCATTCCATATCCTCTCCTTCCTTTCTGGCAAAGGAAACCCACAATCCAGGTACCGGCCTTTTCCTTAAGAGCACTCTAGAGCTTTGTTTGCTCAAATGTGGTACACAGGTACCCCTGAAAGCACTCCATGGGGTACTGAGAAGCAAGCTTCAGGAAGGATATTCATTGTCTTCTCTATCCTCCTGGTCAACAACACATTGTAGGGTGGGTAGGTTGAGGATCACTGTCCTCATTTGAAGACTCAGGATAGGACACGACCCAAAGTCACACACAGATTAACTGGCAGTGCCAGCATGCACACTTGTGTTTTTAATTCTAAAGACAGAGTAGACGATGTTGCATATGGCCCGACAGTAGTTCTTGGAAACTGTGCATTAAAACAACAAAAGATGTTTTAAAATGGCAATAATTGGTACTAGGAGCCAGAAAGCAATACAATGATAATTTAGCATTTTTCAGGCTTGAGAAATAATAATTTGATGACACACAATATTGATATGACCTATTTCATCAACTAAACCCAAAAGGTTAGATTGAGAGAAACAAGGTCAACTTTAATTTACTAAGTACAATAAATTAGTTTTCAGACTTTGGATTAAGATTAATCAGCTAATGGATATTATTGTACATACCCCAACTAGAGCTGTAGAAGCAAGGGGAATCATTAGCACCTTCTTTTATTTGAATCATTCATCATTCTATTTTAAAGTTCTTATCACATGTTAATTTTAATAAAAACTCAGCCTTTCCATTATAAATATTATTACATGAAAAAGATAAGTGAACTTGGGTCCATTTTGTGAAATGCCAAATTTGAAATTGAGATACTTTTGGAAATGAAAGAAGCACTGATATTATTAATGAATAACACAGGCAGGTAGAAAAGTTAGGCACAATAAACTGTCAAAGAGTGACATGACACAGCAGTACATTCAAGATCCTGGCCCATGGATAAGCCAATTGTTCTTCTCTGATGTGACATTACACTGCTCTGGCTCATACTTAAGTTATAATCTATTTAACTGCAAAAAAAAAAAAGTATTCCTATATTCTATATTTGTATAAAAATCCTTATGAAGCCACATAAATACTTTTTTGCCCATTTTACAGAAATTAATTCATTTTGTTTATGAATATTGAAAATAACACCTGCTAAATATATAGGTTTGAGCCATTGGAGAAATCAGAAGTAAATTTTCCAAGCAGCCATCTCTCCTTAAAAGGAACACAGGAAGGCAGACTTGTAGAAAAATTACAGAAAGTCTGGGACCTGGCAACTTGATTTCTCCACCTGCAGGGGTAACTCCCCCTGCCACCCCATAACCTGACTGCCAGAGAGGCAGGGAGTCCCTGTGCTAGGGGTGCCAGCCCAGCGTGCCTGCCCTGGACAGAGCTATGGAAATCACAAGTGGTTCTGGGCCTCAAACTGTGTCAGAGAAGACACACCAAGGGATAAATACGGTGGCTATAAATACAGCCCAAGAACCTGGATCACTTTTCAGACTGTTGAATTTCAAATGCCTGCCAAAATGAGTGTGATATCTGCAGCTTCGCTGCAAGGGGTGGCAAAAGTCCAATTAACTTACACACACAAAAATCTGGGAAGTGATGACCAGAAAAGTTAAATTGTCCAATCAAAACTTGGAACTCAAATTAATTTTACAAGTTTTAATATGATGGTAGGAGGAAATTAAATGTAACCAAAATCCCATTCAACTCCACAATAATGGTAGATAAGAGAAATAAATACAGGACTTACTAAACAAGGTTGAACATTCATAGGTTTCGCTATTGCAGTATTGGGGGTCTGACCACGCAGATATGTGAATTTTTTGCATTCATTTTTCTGATTGGCCATCTGGGAGGTGGGTAATTTAGAGAGCTGAAGACATATGTGACCCCAGAAACAAAACAAAGCAAAACCCCACAAAGCTTTGATGAACTCAAATACAGCATTATTTAGATTTTATTGTTTATAATGACTGAAACTCAAACTGCTCAGACATCAAAAGGGGATTTAGTGGTTTACATAACTGAGAAAGTACCCAGAGAATATGGCTTCAGTCCTGGATGAATACAGGTGTTCAAACAGCAGCATCTAGACTTGACCTCTGTCTTTACACTTGGTTCTTATTAGCTTTGTTCCGGGGCAGTCTCTTTACGTGAGACATCCTGCTGTAGTTCCAGATCTGTAGTGTCTCAGCTTTAAATTCAACCACAAAAGGCCTTCTCTTATATGTTTTCTGCAAACATACATGAATTAAGTCTCCTTGGCCTGGTGTGAATTGTATGACCATGGCTGAGCCAGTCACTGTAGTCAAGGAAAAGCAAGATCAACCCCTCCCTCTGAACACATAGACTGAGTATATAGATAAAGGGAGCTCCCAAAGGAAAACAGTTTCCCAGGAGGAGGGTGCTGGGCTGTCTCTGAAATCCTGCACAGAATGGGCTTTATATAAGAAACAAGTTGGAAGGCCAAACTTATTAACTATAGCCAATCTTCAATGCTGGTTCATGGGAATGATCACAGATAATTGTCATGTTTCCAAGTGTCCATTTTTGAGTAGACCAGGCCTTGTGGTCAGGGTATTATCTATCCTCTTTGGTGGCCACAACAGAGGGCTTGCACAGAGCAGATGCCCACTGAATCTGTGCTTACTCTAGGGAAGGTTCTAGAATCTCTAGAACCACTACTGCTATGACTGAGACTACCTGAAATGTCCAAAAAGTCTAGTTTAACTGGTCTGAAACACAACATGGCAATTCAGCAAAAGTTGAGACCCCCAGGGTTGCAGTTAGCATATCTGGGAGAGAAGAATGTGATCCTATCTGCGGAAGTATGTGAAAATGGAAATAATGCAGGTGGTACAATTTGGCAGACCAGGAATTCCCCACTCTAAACTGCTGTGTGTTGTTCAGCTAGTCATTTAACCTCTCTGAACCTCATCTTCAATAACTGTAGAATAGGGAAAGAATACTTACCCCACAGTGTTGTTAAGAACATTATGTGGGATTATTAATTTATTTATTCTCAAAAGTTTATTGAGATGCCCACTATATGTCTGGCATTGTTCAAAGCCCAGGATA